GTGACTGGCCCGGAACATATACACTCCGTGCCCACTCATAGATGGGCTCTATGGGCTGCCGGTGGACACCAAGCTCATAGGGTTCACTGCAGCGAAAACAAACATGGCCATCTGAGCGAAGCCTCGTTCCTAATTCGGTTCCATCTTAAGGTATGAATGAATTTCAGTGACGAGAGGGGGAAAAATTTTTTTTTCCATTTACAGAATATTGGCACGGCGGGTCGGCAATGGCCAAAATCAGCCTAACGCCCAATCTCCTTATGCAGGATCCTGCAGCATGCTGCGCTTGACTACCTGTCGACAGATGAGGAAAGTGCCGGTGGCTTGATAAAAAACAGGGCAAGAGACTCAACAATAAGCTTACTCCATACATTCTGCAAGCTAGGAGACTGCCGGAAATGAGTGTATCCCGTTCGGAATCGTGTAAGTCGCCGGTGAAAGATGGCCCCGCTGCAACGTAGAGTCCCCGGGCGGAATCATCATCAACAAGGCCTTCGTCAGAGATCTTCGTAGCTACAAAAACACCATAAAAAGCATCCCATTACTATCGTACTCGGCCGCGACAAAGTCGTCGCCAAGTTCGGCTGCCATTGGGACTGGTGATTGATGCCCGAGGCGCAATAACGGCCGAGGCTCCGGAAGTGCACGTCGGAGTGGAGAAATGTAAGCCGAACAAACCATTTATCACTTCAACTAGCGCTGTTACATGGCGCTACGGGCCGCGGCCCAGGCCGGTCCGTCTCTGTAAGGGTCGCACCGTGGACGTTGGATCGTCACCAGGACTCCACTTGCTGGTCTTGTGCGCCGCTTGCTTGGCCGTCTCACAGGGTCGGCGTACTCGCCGCCGGGCTGGCTAACGCAGATGACTCGTCCCCAGAAGGGGTCAGTGCCGTAAATGTTGCGGCAGTCATCCTTGAGCGCCAGATTCCACTTGACCAGCTTGGCCCACGACGTGCCGTGCTGTACGCCAATCACCACGCAGTCTTCGTCCTTGTTCTTGACTGTGTATAGTTCGCTGCACTTGTCAAGGTCAAGTCGCTCA